TGAAATCTAGGCAGAGGTTCCCAAACCTCAGTTCTTGACTTCTGTGCACCTGCAGGCTCAACAACACGTGAAAGCTGCCAAGGTTTGGGGCTTCCACACTCTGAGGCAACAGCCTGAGCTGTACCTTGACCCCTTTTAGCCATGACTGGAGCAGCTGGAATGCAGGGTACCAAGTCCCTAGGCTACACAGAGCAGGGTGGCCCGGGGTCTGGCTGGTAAAGCCATCTTTCCTATTAGGCCTCCAAGCCTGTGATGGGAGGGGCTGCTGTGAAGACCTCTGACATGCCTTGGAGACATTTTCCCCATTGTCTTAGGGTTTAACATTCAACTTCTTGTTACTTATTGCAAATTTCTACAGCTGGCTTGACTTTCTCCTCAGAAAATGGAATTTTCATTTTTATTGCATTGTCAAGCTGCAAACTTTCCTACCTTTTATGTTCTTTTCTCATTTAAAATTGAATGCCTTTAGCAGCACCCAAGTCACTTTTTGAATGCTTTGCTGCTTAGAAATTTATTCTGCCAAATTCCTTAAATATTCTCTCCCAAGTTCAAAGTTCCACAAATATCTAGGGCATGGGGCAAAATGCCACCAGTCTCTTTGCTAAAACATAATAAGAGTTACCTTTGCTCCAGTTCCCAACAAGTTTCTCATTACCATCTGAGACCACCTCAGCCTGGACTTTATTATCTATAACACTATCAGCATTTTGGTCAAAGCCATTCAACAAGTCTCTAGAAGTTTCAAACTTTCCCACATTTTTCTGTCTCTTCTTCTGAGTCCTCCAAACTGTTCCATCCTCTGCCTATCACCCAGTTCCAAAATCACTTCAACGTTTTTGGGTATCTTCAGCAACACCACACTCTACTGGTACCAATTTACTGTATTAATCTATTTTCACACTGCTAATAAAGGCATACCTGAGACTGGGCAATTTACAAGAGAAAAGTCTATTGGACTTACAGTTCTGTGTGTCTGGGGAGTGCCTCACAATCATGGCAGACAGCAAGGAGGAGCAAGTCATGTCTTACTTGGATGGTGGCAGGCAAGGAAAGACAGTTTGTGCAGAAAAACTCCTATTTTTAAGACCATCAGATCTTGTGAGACCCATTCACTATCACAAGAACAGCTTGGGAAAGACCTGCCCCCATGTTTCAGTCATTTCCCTCAACACCTGGGATTGTGAAAGCTACAAGATGAGATTTGGGTGGGGACCGAGAACCAAACCATATCAATAGCCAAGTCCAAATAAGCAGACACCATCATTTCCTAATGTAAAAGAGAAAAAAGAGTGGTGTCCTGAAAACAGTAACTGGTACCACTTGCATTTCATGCAGTTCAAATAATTACACAAGCTTTTCCTCATGACAGCCATGATACTTCAGTTTATAGCAGATACGCTTTATGCAAACTTCCCAGTTTATCAAATAATATTAAAAAGAAGTGTAACTAAAGGTTAAGATTCAATAAAATCAGTGATTATTTTTTCAATATGGATATTCTCAAGTGAAACTTACTGTAAAGTGGTGAAATAGATTAGTGCTTCTCGTTTGATTCATGCTAAGGTGTCAGCAGTTTTATCCACCATTGCTTTTGCACTGTTGGTAGCAAATATCCACTCAGTCAAAGAGGTCAAGTAACATTTAAATAACACTTTGATATTATTATAAAAATAGTTTTGACCTCATCAGTGGACACCTTAAAAAGGGTCTTGACGACTCCCAGGATCCATGGACTATACTTTGAGAACCACTTCCTAAATATGCAAGCTATGTTGCCCTTGCCCACTCTACTTTCTTAACTCTAGCTCTTATTCTTATCTTCGTTGTTTTTATAGTTCCCTAACTGGTCTCCAAATCTTTAGTCTTTTTCTCTACCTTAAAAGTTTCTGGAATACAAATCTGATTTTGTTGAGACCCTGTTAAAATCTTTTAACATGCTCCAGCACAATTGGATAAAATCCAGATTTCTTCATAGAGCATAGAAGAGACCTTTTACTATCATACCTATCTTAGTAACTAACCTCTTTTCTTGTCAGTACTTCCTAGTCTTTGAGCCAAGCTGAATTTACTGGTAATTCCCTGAACACATCATGGTTTCTACATGATTTCTACATGCTATTCTTCCTACCCGTAATACTCTTTTACTTCCCACCTATCCCTCTAATTGCACATTTTTAAATCACCTCATGTTACCACCCATAAAATTTTGTATAACAATTTGTTATATTACAGTCATTTTGTTTATATGTCATTTTTTCCTATTAGATTGTGAGCTGTTTGAGGTCAGGAACTATGTCTTTCTGTGTATTCCCAGTACTTACCAAGGGTGAGACACATAATATTTAATAAGTGTTTGAGTATTTGAATGAACTCCATAAAAACTGAAAATGCGAATTAATTTTTTGGTATTTCATTTTCTTTTCCTGCTAATACAGTTCTTAGAGTTGCTAATGAATAATAAAGGCTACAGATGGGAAGAAAAGAAAAAAATGTATATGTATATACACATACATTATGTGTATATATACACAAAGTATATGCCATATGTATATATATTTTATAAATATATATATGTATATCCCTCAACCTCTTTATTGGACAAAGCAATGGATCTTTATTTCCATAATTTTTACTTTAATTGAAGATTCAGGGGAACATTCAATTTATATATATGTTTCTGAAAAGTTGTAATGAATTACATTTTAAAAATTTAACCTCCTTAATTTATTATAACTCAGTCTCTAATCAATTTAGATGTTTTTTCCTAATTTACAATTCTTAATGTGGAGGCAAAAATGCCAAAATATTTATTAATGTTTTAAAACTACTATGTGAGAATATTAGGATTATTACATTTTTAACCGTGTACTCTACATTGTTTTATGTTAAAACTTGGTTAATTGTATTTTGTTTTTGAGTTTAGTACAGTGAAATAAAATCTTGTTAAAGGGATTTCTGTCAGAAGGGTACCTAACTAGAAGTCCCACTTAACAGAATCCATTAACATATAGCATTTATCAGCTAAAAGAACCTCTTTCAAAAGAAAGGAAATTTTTTCTGAGATTTCATAATATATAAAACTTTAAAAGTTAAATTAGGCCTGGTGCAGCCTGTAATCACACCTGTAATCCCAGTGCTTTTGGGAGGGCGAGGCAAGAGATCATTTGAGGCCAGGATTTTGAGACTAGCCCAGGCAACATGGTTGCATGGCAAAAAAAAAGATTGTTTTTAAATTAGTCAAATATGGTGGCACACACCTATAGTTGCAATTTCTCTGTAGGCTGAGATGGAGGAACTCTTGGGCCTGGGAGGTTAAGGCTGCAGTGAGCTATGATTGTTTCACTGTACCCCAGCCTGGGCAACAGAGTGAAACCCTGTCTCTAAAAAAATTAAAATGAAATAAAAATGTAAATTTTTTATATTTAAAAAATATTACCCACTATTTGTTCTGTACAATGCAGTATAAGTATATATATTTAGATAAATCCAAGTCACTTAAAAGCAAATTTTGGGCCAGGTGTGGTGGCTCATGCCTATAATCCCAGCACTTTGTGGGGCCGAAGCAGGTGGATCACCTGAGGTCAGGAGTTTGAGACTAGCCTGACCAACATGGAGAAACCTTGACTGTACTGAAAATACAAAAGAAAATTAGCCAGATGTAGTTGCACATGCCTGTAATCCCAGCTACTTGGGAGGCTGAGGCAGGAGAATTGCAAGAACCCAGGAGGCGGAGGTTGCCGTGAGCTGAGATTGCCCCATTGCACTCACTCCAACCTGGGCAACAGGAGCAGGACTCTGTCTTTAAAAAAAAAGGCGGCCGGACGCGGTGGCTCACACCTGTAATCCCCGCACTTTGGCAGGCCGAGGCCGGTGGATCATGAGGTCAAGAGATGGAGACCATCCTGGTCAACATGGTGAAACCCTGTCTCTACTAAAAATACAAAAAATTAGCTGGGCATGGTGGCACGTGCCTGTAATCCCAGCTACTCAGGAGGCTGAGGCAGGAGAATTGCCTGAACCCAGGAGGCGGAGGTTGCGGTGAGCCGAGATCGTGCCGTTGCACTCCAGCCTGGGTAACAAGAGCGAAACTCCGTCTCAAAAAAAAAAAAAAGGCAAATTTTGTAGATTATGCTTTTCTGCCTGTTGACCATTTCATTGCTCATTAGCATCTGAGTAAATGTAATATTTTAAATGAATCATTTTGAGCCTCACTAATTTAGAATTTACAATGACAGAGTCACTGGACTGAAACCTAGCTTTTCAGCCAGTGCCTACAGCCCCTTGCCTAGATGTTGCCTAGTAAATTAAAATAACATGTTTACAAAATTACAAGGGAAAATAAAACTTTTAGTGACCTTTAAGTATTTAAATTATTGCTGTATTATATTTGTTGATTATAAATCATGCCTTTAATGCATATTTGTTGATTAAAAACCAATAGTATTGCGATTTCTTCAAAAAGATTCTGAATTAATGAGGTATGTATACTATAGTCAGATTTATAATTTTTTACTTTGGCAACATATTGGGATTATGCTTGGAATTCTTTTATCTATTTTGTCCCCATTGACTTAAATTTTTAAGAATTGGTAACATTCTCTGATCTCTGTGTCAGTGTGGTACATAATTAGAATGCCATGGTGTACTAGTGAGAAACAAAGTAGAATAGTTTAATTCCGTTGCCTGATAGATACTGATCATAAAATGTTAAAAATGGTTACCTAAACTTGGAAATTGGTATATGTAGTTAGTAGATTTATAGGAATAATAGCAAGTCGCATATTTAATTTGATACATTTTATTTGAAAGTAGTTCCCTTTTGTACTTCATGTTTTTATACATTCAGAATTTAAAACCAAAGGATATATAGTGATTTTGCTCATAAATCTATTTTCAGCCTTCATTTACTACATTGTCATCTGTTAGTTCTTTTTTATTTCATAATTAATTTTAAAATTCTTCATTTTTTTATCTAATTTAACATTTTCATATTTTTAAAGGTCCCCAGGTGCATCCAATTTTTCAACTTTACCAAAGATCTCTCCTTCATCTCTATCAAATAATTATAACAACATCAACAACAGAAAGTAAGCACTGCATCTTAAAAACTCTTCGTTTAATTGATCACCCTATATGGTTGCAAAAAATCTCTTGTTTCTAAAATTTAGGATAAAAGTCTTAATGCATTAAAATTGGTTTTCTTTTAAATTACTGATTAGTTCTTCCCTGAGTAACTTAACAAAAAAGAAAGCAGTTAAATTAATTCTTGATTTAATACGTATGCTGAAAGAAATAAAACACTTAAAGAATTTTATATACTAAACATTAATTGAAATATATTTAGAAGTTTGTTAGAACAAATTTTTTAGGAAGAGTAGAAATTCAGATGTCATTTTAGAACTAGATATGTAATCACATAAAATAAAGTATTTTTTTAAAGTATGTATCAGTGATTCAAGTGGAAAGCACATATAAATTTTTGTTTATGAAAAAGGCAATCACTTTTTCTTGAGAAGTTCAGAAAAACAACTTCCTTACCCCTTGCCAAATAAAATTTAGAATCATGGAATTTATAAAAATTTTGTTAAAGTGTGTGTTCTTTTATTGCTATAAGAAAAAAAGTTGAAGGTCAAGGTTACTTGGGCTTTAATCTGAGTGTATTACCTTGAACATTGACATGTCTATTTTATTGAAAAGGGTCAAAAGAATGCCTTTATTATTTGTAAGTAACCCAAATTATGGGAAGGATATTGACCTAGAGATGATTATCCTCCTTTTATTTTTTTATATGTATAATGCCATTTATGGATTAGGTTGGAAGTATTTAGATATTTGCACTAACATAGTACTAGATATTTATCTAATACTTATAGTAATTATATATTAGTATATACTTATATGCTTATACTAATTATAAAATATTAATATTTATTTTTTCAGTTTCTAAATGGCATCCGATTATCTCAGCGACTAAATTCTAAAAGACTTTGCTTTTTTGTGAAATAATCTTTAAAATTAAAACATCAATAATTAAAGTTACATTTGAATTAATTTTTTCTTAAATTTATCTTTTGGGGTAGAATGACAAAAATGATTGTGACATACACATGAATTATAAGTAGATAACAAGAGCTAAAATAATTATGAGAAAGAATAATAATGAAGAAGGATTAGTCTTAAACTAAATATCACAATGTATTATAAATACATAAAAATTCAAACAGCATAGTACTGATCCAAAAATATGTCTACATATCAGTGGAATCTAACAGCTAAGAAACAGATCTTTGTATAAAAAGAATTTACTGTGATCAGGAGGCATTGTAGACTAATAGGAATGGGCAGATTATCCAGGAAATATTGTTGAGAAAATTGGCTCATGCCTGAGAATTTCTCTTTGGAATTTTAAATCCAAGATAATTCTTAAGCATATTAAAAAAGGGCAAATAAATGGGAAAAAATACTTGTTACGAGTGATAAAGGATATATAATCTTAATATATCAAGCTCATAAAAGTCAGAAATTTCTAAGACAGTCTTGGAAACACTGGGCAGTAAAAGTAAAGGAGTTAAATAAGGGATAAACTTTTTTTTTTTTGAGGTAGGGTTTCACTTTGTCACCCAGGTTGTAGTGCATTGTCAAAATCACAGCTTACTGCACCCTTGACCTCCCAGCTCAAGTGATCCTCCCACCTTAGCCTCTTGAGTAGCTAGGACTACAACACACACCACCACACCAGGCTAATTTTTTTATTTTTATTTTCATAGAGATAATCCCACTATATTGCCCATGCTGGTCTTGGACTCCTGGGCTTAGGCAGTCCTCCTGCCTCAGCCTCCCAAGTGCTGAGATTAGAGACATGAGCCACCTTTCTCGCCTGGGATAAATATTTTAAACTTTCACATTCACTACTAATTAGAGATATGTAAATTAAAACCATGAAAAACCCCATTTGCTTTCCCCTACCTCAGTCACATTGGGAAAAATTCAACAATGATATATATTCTTATAAGGATTTTGAGTGTTTGGAGGGTTAGAATAATTTTCCTTACAAAATAGTTTAACAATATGAATCAAAAAGATTTAAAACGTTCACATTCTTATTTCAGTTATTCATAAAAAGATATGTGCACTATGTTGAATAATATTACATCATAGTGTAATACTAAAATACTGAAGATGCTAAATATTCAAAATTACATTGTAGTATGTTCTCTTTTATTTAAAAATGGAAGTCTACAGGCCAAAAAAAAAAAAGGTGAAAATAACCCCTTGTAATTCAGTTTGTATTATATGAGAGCTTTAAGTAAACTTATCAAAAGTCATTTTTTCCTAGTAGATAAAACATTACTTATGATTTACTCATTGCAGGTGGCTTCTATATTTACTATAAAATAATTCATGTACAGGTATTTACAGTCATTCTTTGGAGAGATTTTTAACATTGTATATAGACTATATTGAATGTAGACTATATTTTTACCAGAATTACCATATGTGGTCTGGTATGTTTCTGGTTTTGTTCTGTTTGCACTTTTATAGTAAACGTGTGATAGTATAGTCTCAAAACCTCTGACTACAGAAATTGTTGAGAGAATTATAATCTTAAGTTTCAGTGATTCTATCATATGACTGCATTATATTTTTTAGCTTTTTTTTAATTCAGACACTAAAATAGTCCTGTCATATTAGGGAATTTTAATAGCAAGTAGTCACTGAAATACCATGATGCTGTGACCATTTTGAGCTTAAAAGTACATTTTTATGTATGGATTGTCTTTCTTTGTAAGGAACAGAACTTAAGCATTCCTAAAATGGAAAGTTTTTTTTTTATCTTTTTTTTTTTTTTTTTTTTTGGAGACGGAGTTTCGCTCCTGTTACCCAGGCTGGAGTGCAATGGTGCGATCTCGGCTCACCACAACCTCTTGCCTCCTGGGTTCCTGGGTTCAGGCAATTCTCCTGCCTCAGCCTCCCGAGTAGCTGGGATTACAGGCGCGCACCACCATGCCCAGCTAATTTTTTTGTATTTTTAGTAGAGACGGGGTTTCACCATGTTGACCAGGATGGTCTCGATCTCTTGACCTCGTGATCCACCCGCCTCAGCCTCCCAAAGTGCTGGGATTACAGGCTTGAGCCACCGCGCCGGCCCACGTTTTTTTTAATCTTAAAAAACTTGAATTCTATCACATTTAAACAATTTTACATAAAATTAATTTCTTGCATTTCCATTCAGCTTGTGGAAAGACTTCAAATAGAAATAGCATAGTTTCTTTCAAAGTATGTAAAATAGGTAATGACCTTTTGGATTAAGTATGTTTTTGAAAACTCATGTATGTGGAAACAGTAATCAATAATTATAATGCACCAGCTCATATGAAATGTATTTACAAATTCAAGATTTAACCCTACACTGATACATTTCTGAGATACAAAATTTTCGTTTTTAGAAACAAGCATATCATTATAAAATAATTCCAAATAATACAGTGTAGTTGGAATTACTTCATTTAAGTTTAATACGTTTTTATTAAAAACTAATATGAAAACTCTGTTAATATAATATAGTTTGTTTACCTTGGGTCATAATTTTACCTGTTAGTCCCTGGAGTATTGGGTTTTGCCTCAATTTAAGTACATTTTTAAATATCTGTCATCGTCTTTCTAGTAATAGTTCTATAACCTGTATTTTTCTGCCCTGCTATATTTGCTTTAATATATTACTAACTCTGCCTTAAAAAAATTTTTTTAATCTGTTTATTGTCTCAATTGGACATTCCAAATACAGAGCACATTTCTTTTTCTGTTAGTTCATTTATATCTTTTTTTTTAATTTAATGAAAATGATTACCTGTATGAGATTGAGCCATGAACAGGAACTGTGAATTTTGGAAATTACTAGAGCTAGCCATCTGGCTCTTAATAAATTTGTTAGCTAAAATCATCATTTAATTAACTGCAAAATGGGCATAATTATCATTATGAGGATTAAATTATATATTTATAATGTCAGGTGTCAGTGCTAGTTTTAAAAGTCAATCCAACATTTTTATGGAAGGATAAGGTTCAGTTTTACCAAAAACTTTTGCATTTTTAATGTATTTTTATTAAAGAAGGATAGATATACAGAATTAATCTAATGTGGTATTAAAATTCCCATTACTATTACTATAAATTTATTTTTGCAAAGTAGCATAGCCTTAAAAGATGATGACTAGCTTAAGATCATTAGGAAATAATTAGTAGACAAAGCCATGAAAGATAATAGAGGCTATCTTTAGGGCCCAGGTTTTCATATATTTTTTGAATTATATAAATTCTAGTTTTGATATTTTCCATGACAAACCTTAATATTTCATTTAGAGCACACATAACATGTAGATTGTAAGTGACCAATCAAGATAATATTAAAATATCTTAAATTTATTGGTTTTCATTATTATTTTTGAACATCTAGACTATTTCAGTTTTTGAGCAAAGTTTATACTTTCTCTGTCATTTAAATGTAGATAGTATTTAGGGATACAGACTTTTAAAAACAAAACAAAACTGCTTTGCAAATAAGTGTTTTGTTCATTTCTCAGTAAATAGGAATTTCTATTCCATCGAATTCCATCATGTTGCTGCACAGAAGAGTAGAGCTTCCAGCATCCCTTTAAAAAGTTACATGTGGGGAGAGACAGGATATCTGAATATATACTTACGGAATGAGCATGTAAATGTGCTTTTAGTCTTTTCATGTGTGTGTATGTGTGCGCGCAGTACGCACATGAGCATGCATTTGGGCAAACTTTCCTATGTGCTCTGGCTGCTTAAATTTTACTCTAATTTTACAGCCAGAAGTTTTTTTTCTCAATAATGTGTAGAATGTGTAGAAAATACAAGCCTTGCATTTTTAAAAATAATACACAGAAGATCTTCATTTTTGGCACCGCTTACACTAGTAAAAGAAAAACAAGATCTTTTTTTTGTACTTCAGCTTTTTGTTGTGTGTACCCAAAGTTAGATTCAATAATCCAATTATGAGTGGAAAATACTTAAAATTGCTAATAGATGCTTTGTACTTTTTTAGTTACCAGGAATATAAAATAAAATATGAATCATAAGGCTAATTATTTCCCATAAAAAGTTTTATGAATTTTTTATGTTTTGTTTGTTTTAGTTTAAGACAAGTAAGTAGCTATAAGTCTAGCAATTCTGAATTTGAATTATCAATTTTACATTTCTTAGGCCACTTCTGTTTTTATCTCAGGGTGGATTGTTTTTTTGAGAGTTGAGGAGTTAACCATTTTTGTTTGTAGGAAAAAGGAGTGTTTTTTTTAAAAATGCAGAAACATTCATAGTCTAACACTGTGTGTATAATTTTAGGTTGGTTTGGTTTTGTGTGTTTTACCTATTTGGTTTGTGTGTTTACTGAAGACTTTGTTAGAACAGGTAGTAGTATAGTTCACATTAACTCTATAATAATAAAGTGAGAGTTTAGTATATGGAATGATGAAGTGAAGTATTTGAAATTAGAAGAAAAAACTACTTTAAAAAGAATATTACCAGGAATAAATTGTAGCCAGTTGTGAATTGCTAGAGATACTGATTTATCATGTTCATTTATAAAGGTGTTTTATTTATAGCATCATTTGCTTTTAGCCAAGATCTTCTCATTCAGGTTTTTTCTTTTTTCTTTTCTTTTTTTTTTTTTTTTTTGAGACGGAGTTTCGCTCTTGTTACCCAGGCTGGAGTGCAATGGCGCAATCTCGGCTCACTGCAACCTCCGCCTCCTGGGTTCAGGCAATTCTCCTGCCTCAGCCTCCCGAATAGCTGGGATTACAGGCACGCACCACCGTGCCCAGCTAATTTTTTGTATTTTTAGTAGAGACGGGGTTTCACCATGTTGACCAGGATGGTCCCGATTGAAAGCATGCTTTGAATTATATCTGAAGTATTCATCACACATATTTTATAAGATAACCTATTGAAAAATAAGAAAGTTCATTCTTTTTCACAAGACCATTTTTTATTATATGCGAAAGGAAGAGGGGTCATTTAATTTATTTTCTTCTTTCTAAAAATTATCCTGATTTTGTAACTTTTAGAATATTATAGAGTTTTTTAATATTAACATTTAAATTACATTGAGGTTATATTTATCTAATTAGATAAACTACATTGGTCTGAGAAACTAGAAGAAAGAAAAGGCAAATAACACTGGGATACACTTGCTTTGAATTATTTTTGCATTCCTGTTCACCCAGGCTTTTTTCTGCGTTTGAGTATTAGTTTTTGCTGGTCTAGCTTAGAAACTCAAAATAGAATCTTCAGTGCATCAGAACAGTGATGTCACAGTGGCCTTGGGAATCTCTTCTCTTACCTGTAACTGAAGTAACTCTTATTGTTTCTACCATTTTTACTCTATTACAGTAGCAGAATGCAAAAGGGTCATAAAGGAGATGATTTGTTGCTGCAGATCTTGTTTAAGATCTGAATGTTTTAAATTTGATGGAGCAATGGGGAATGGAGCAAGCTGTAAAGCTGCTCCAGTTAATCAAAGGTAGAAAGATACAATAGTGGTTTGTATTGATTGATGTGATATATGATAGTTATTTTGTTGATTGGATAAGGAATATCTTAATTCAGGGTGGGTTATTTTGTTTAAGGTTCACATTTTTTAAAGTATCTGAAATGAGTGCTTTATAAAAGAAATTTAATGATTGATCACATATTTCATAAATAGGCCTATAGTACTCTTTATTTTAACTATGTTGTAATATAATTGGCTGCATTATGAAAAATATCTTTTTCTTCCAGTGTGAAAAACTCAAATTACTGTCTCCCATCATATACTGCTTATAAGAACTATGATTATTCAGAACCTGGAAGAAACAATGAACAGCCAGGCCTCTGTGGCTTAAGTAACTTGGGAAATACCTGTTTCATGAACTCAGCTATTCAGGTAGGTCTTTGTAAACAAAGTGAAACGGTTGTTTCATGGAAATCTGTAATACAAGAAAATAGAGTTGGGTTTTTCATGCCAGAACATGGGTATTACATTTGGAAAGTTCATTTTTTATGGAAGATTTGAACATACACATTTGACTTGTTCATTCTACTACTGGTACTAGAATATATGTTTCTCAATTAGGTAACCTGTGATTGATTAACATAAGGTACAAGATTAAATATCACTTCTTGCAAAAACATAATACCAAACAGAAAACTTGCTGTCCAAGAAAGGGAAAAAAAAAATGCAAAAAAGCTAGTGAGATCTCTCCTTTATTCAATAGAAGTCTATTGCCTTTTTTTTTTTTTTTTGGTCTTAATGCGAAATTAAAATTTTAAAAAGGGAAATCTTAAGAACCTCTTTTTGTGTACATATTTTAACAAATCACTTCCCCTTAAAGTCTTTTGATTTGGGGATATAAGAGATCACTGCCTTTTCCCCACCCCACCTCCAATCCCCTTTTTCTTTCCTTGGAGCTTTTCTTTTCTTTCTGCTCTTGTCTATATCGTCTTTCAACTTAACTTGTTAAATATTTATGTCTTTGAGTGATTCTGAAGTAATGGCAGAGATATATTTTTTGATATCACTGTTACTGTGTATAAGATTAGGGCTGGTTATTCCCCTTTTATAGATGTATGTGTTTATAAAAGCTCAGAATAATGGCAAGCCGTTTTTGGTATTTGAATCTTAACTTTTTTTTGGTCAGTCTCTTTTGTGAATTCTAAAATTTTAGTTTTAAGCCTAAACTTTTTTATTCTCTATTCATATTTTTTTGTTTAATCTCCTATGCCCAAGAGACAGCCTCCAAAGATATAGATTCAATGCAGGATATAGATTGATAAGGACATTATTAGACATCTTTCTCACTCTCTGAGAAAAGGGTGACTCTTCACCATTCAGTATTCTAAGTGAATCTCTTTGTACATCGTCGTTCATACAGCTGTTTCCTAAATTAACCATTGTCTTTATAGCATTCTTGGAAATTAGAATCTGTCATACGCTATAGGCCAGGAGTTAGCATCCTTTTAGAAAGTGAGTGGGCATAGTCAGTTTCTGGTATTTTGCTTTAGAGTTGAACTACTTGGGAAGTGGCCTCTCTGCTTAAACAGATAGCTTAATAAATTCTTCCTTTAAATGTCCCTCAAGTGAGTAATCCTGCTCATATTGTAGTGTGAATTACTTTATTCAAAATAGTTTTTCAAGAATTTTAGCACTAGTTAAACATAGAGATAATTTAAATTTTTTTCTGTATTTTTCTAGATGGGGGAGAAAGCCAAAATGTATTACTATCCTAATAGTTATTAAATAACAAAGTAAAGTACATGGGTGCTAAGCTTTCAGAGATAGGAATGGAACAGACAAATTATGGTATCTGTTGGATTATCTCTGGAACATGTATTATATAAATTGTGATTATACCAGTACCAGAAAATGCTGTTCTCAGATCACCAACTCATATTAATTTTTGTATACCTCTTTATCCTTGAATTGCCAAAATTACTTTGATTGCAAAGGCTTGATATCACCTGGAGTTTTTTTTTTTCCTAGTATAGAAAACCAAATTTGGTGTTTTTTTGTAAATATTAATAAAATATTTCAACAGCATAGGGATTCCAAATTTCAATCTATCAAGAGAGAGCAAGAGTTTGTGTTCATGCTAATTATTCATGGGAGGCTTGGGCCAGCATTCAGACTAAATTTCTTCTAAAGCAATACTACATTCTAGTTTTCTGTGCCTTCGATATGTCTGTTATGAAAATGGCTAACTGCCGTTTCTCAAAAAGAGGTATTAAAATTGAGTATTCTAACCAGCTAGGTTAAGCTAGATTTGGCATCATTTAGCTTTCTTGCATGTTATGTTTAAGGTGTGAGAACCTTCATTTTATTCATTTTCCTTCTATTCAAAACTTTTATTAGAATAAATTGATACCTCTAATGCAGACCCTCTTAATATGTTTTACCATCATGTGTTCCATTTCATCTGCAACATAGCCATAAGCATGATGGTTTATGATTTTATGGTAATAGCCATAAAATTTTTTGATGAAAATTTTAGCAATGAGTATTTTTTTAAGTTTTGTTCATTTTATTATATTTTTTTAAATTGTATTTTAGGTTTTGGGGTACATATGAAGAACATGCAAGATTGTTGCATAGGTACACACATGACAGTGTGATTTGCTGCCTTCCTCCCCATCACGTATATCTGGCATTTCTCCCCAGGCTATCTCTCCCCAACTCCCCACCCCCCACTGTCCCTCCCCTATTTCCCCCCGACAGACCCCAGAATGATTCTCCCCTCCCTGTGTCCATGTGTTCTCATTGTTCAACACCCACCTATGAGTGAGAACATGCAGTGTTTGATTTTCTGTTCTTGTGTCAGTTTGCTGAGAATGGATGGTTTCCAGGTTCATCCATATCCCTACAAAGGACACGAACTCTTCGTTTTTGATGGCTGCATAATATTCCATGGTGTATATGTGCCACATTTTCACTGTCCAGTCTATCGTCAATGGGCATTTCAGTTGGTTCCAGGTCTTTGCTAGTGTAAACTGTGCTGCAATGAACATTCGTGTGCATGTGTCCTTATAGTAGAACGATTTATAATCCTTTGGATTTATACCCAGTAATGGGATTGCTGGGTCGATTGGAATTTCTATTTCTAGGTCCTTGAGGAATCGCCACACTGTCTTCCACAATGGTTGAACTAATTTGCACTCCCACCAACAGTGTAAAAGTGTTCCTATTTCTCCACATCCTCTCCAGCATCTGTTGTTTCAGATTTTTTAATGATCGCCATTTTACCTGGCATGAGATGGTATCCCAATGTGGTTTTGATTTGCATCTCTCTAATGACCAGTGATGATGAGCATTTTTACATATGTTTGTTGGCCTCATGTATGTCTTCTTTTGTAAAGTGTCTGTTCATATCCTTTGCCCACTTTTGAATGGGCTTGTTTTTTTCTTGTAAATCTGTTTTAGTTCTTTGTAGATTCTGGATAGATTCTACAGAGATTTAGATTCTTTGTAGATTCAGCCCTTTGTCAGATGGGTAGACTGCAAAAATTTTTTCCTATTCTGTTGGTTGCTGATTCACTCTAATGACTGTTTCTTTTGTTGCGCAGAAGCTCTGGAATTTGATTAGGTTCCATTTGTCTATTTTGGCTTTTGTTACCAATGCTTTTGGTCTTTTGGTCATGAAGTCCTTGCCTACGCCTATGTTCTGAATGGTTTTGCCTAGATTTTCTTCTAGGGTTTTTATGGTGTTAGGTCTTATGTTTAAGTCTTTAATTCATCTGGAGTTAATTTTAGTGTAAGTTGTCAGGAAGGGGTCCAGTTTCTGCTTTCTGCACATGGCTAGCCAGTTGTCCCAACACCATTTATTAAACAGGGAATCCTTTCCCCACTGTTTGTTTTTGTCAGGTTTGTCAAAGATTGGATGGTTGTAGATGTTTTGTGTTGCCTCTGAGGCCTCTGTTCTGTTCCATTGGTCTATATCTCTGTTTTGGTACCAGTATTATGCTGTTTTGATTACCGTAGCACTGTAGTATAGTTTGAAGGCCAGTAGTGTGAGGCCTCTTGCTTTGTTCTTTTTGCTTAGAATTGACGTGGCTGTGCAGCCTCTCTTTTGTTTCCATATGAAGTTTAAGGTGGTTTTTTCCAGTTCTGTGAAGAAGGTCATTGGTAGCTTGATGGGGATAGCATTGAAAGCAATGAGTATTTTCAGCAGTAGATTTTATTTCATTTCTGTAGCTTTATTTAGTTGGAAACTGTACTGTGTCTAAAATAAAACTTCAGACAATTTGGAGAAGGGAAAAATGAATTTTTATTTGTACTGCTTTTAGCTTTTAGTTCACATCCAGAATTAGAAAAGCTAGGTCTTTAGTTTTATTTTCTTAAAACTTCCATGATTTTTAATTGATTAAGATGTCAGCTCTTGAGCTGAAAATTGACTGTAAGAGGGAGTACAAAATGGTAGCAGTAGCGTTTACTCTTCTGTTTCACAAAACTCATGTAAGTTCATAGGTCCAAAAATAAAAGGGGTGAGAGATCACTAATAGAATGGATTATTTCAATAGGTTTTATCAGATACTGTTTCTTCAGTTATGCTTTTTTCAAGTTTCCCTGTAACTTCTTTGAAATTGAAGATGTCATGAATTTTAGAAAATATTATCAAATATTATTCCTACTGATAATTTGAATTTTAATGTAACCTCTTAATTCAATATCCTCCAAATTTGAGTAATCATTTCGGCACATCAGGTGGTATAGTATTGTGACATCTGTTAAAAAAAAAAGAGTGTAAAAAGTATACTTTTTTTAGTTTAAGAGTGGATTATACTTAGCCCATCAGTAGCTTTGAGATAGTGAACTATTTTGACCACCCATGATTAAAATCTAAGCAGCACCAATCTGAGTGTGATTTAACATTATTGCTCTTATTATTTAATGATATTGGTACTCAAGATTTTCTGATAATAATGGTATGAATATTGACTTTTTCTGGTCAATATGGTACTGCCATATAGCTTTAATTTATTAAGTCAACATTGAATGTCACACATATGTGAGATATTTTTGGACATACAATCAATTCTTCTATACATGGATTCTACATTCAAGGATTCAGCCAACTGTGAATCAAAAATATTCCAAAAAAGAAACAGTAAAAAATAACATTATAACAGTTTAGTCCAGGTGCGGTGGCTCATGCCTATCATCCCAGCTCTTTGGGAGGCTGAGGCAGGTGGATCACCTGAGGTCAGGAGTTTGAGACCAGCCTGGCATATATGGCAAAACCCTGTCTCTACTAAAAATACAAAAATTATCCTGGGTATGATGGCGGGCACCTGTAATTCCAGCTACTTGGGAGGCTGAGACAGGAGAATCACTTGAACCTGGGAGGCAGAGGTTGCAATGAGTTGAGCACCATTACACTCCCTCCTGGGAGA